GGCATCCCCGTCGTGGCCGTTCTTGTCCTCCTTGGAGAGGTGAGCCTGCGAGCCCAGGGCCGAGAGCGACAGGAGCCCGGTGCCGGCGCTGACAGCGGGGAGCGACGGGGGCTGCAGCCCCACGGGGAGCGGGGTCAGAGGCAGAGCGAGGGCTTGGAGCTGCGACAGCTGGTGAGCTTGAAGCTGCTGCTGTAGGGAATGATGCACAGACACAGAGACAGAACGGGGGTATTGTCATTTTGAGTGCACTTGGACCCCAAACCAAGGGCCTGGACTGGCCAGAGTGTGCCAGCGATCAAGCTTAGATGAGGAAGCTTGAGAGCATTGCAGCCTCAGGACTGGGTGGGAAAAGAGGCTCTCGAGCCCTGCTGCTGTGACAACCTCAAGAGAAGACTCACGAGTGTGTCCCCAGCAGGACACACAGCCCCTACCCCACAGGACATCTGGCCTCAGGCTCTGCCATGTCCCAAGGCTGCAGTTAAAGCCCTCCCTCGCAACTTTGACCAAGAGCAGATGGTGTTTTCATGCTGAGTGCCTACTGTGGTTCCTGCTCAAAACCACAGCTCCTCTCCTTGCACCCTGCTGAGATAGAGCAGGGATCCCTGCAAACATCACAGCAAGCCTGGGTGGAACCAGCCCTGTGCCAGCACAGCCAGCCCAGCCTTGCAGCCTCATCCCACTGCAGCTGCAGCACCAGAGAAGGGGTCCCCTGATGTCCCCAAGTCAAGAATCCACAGAATCAAGAATCTGTGTCCTGGCCAAGGGCCTGGACTCCCACCCCTCCCAACCCAAACTAAACATGCATCACGTACACGGATGATGGAGTTCAGTTCTGGCGCCGTGACCTGCTTAGCCCGTTCGATGGCTCCCAAGACTTGCTGCTGATGCTGGCGTGGAGAAAACAGAGGAATTTGGGGTCATTTCTAGTGCCACAGGCAAGCAGAAGAGGGACCCAGTCCAGACAACCAGGCTGGTTACCCCATAGCCTGCACACAAGTTACCTGAGACAAGGGCCCCAGCCCAGGCCCAGGGCAGCAAGGAGCAGGGAAGGAAGCACCTCTGTCTCATCCCCATCCTCACCACAGGGTTAAGCAGGTCCCCTCTTACTCCCACCCTCGTCCTGCCCTCCACACACCCAGAGATCCTTGGCCAGAAGGCTCCAAGGTGGGCAGCGTCTCTCATCCTGCCACCCTTCACCTACGCAGACCCTCTAAGAAACAAAACAAGCCCTAAATCCAGAAGGTTTGGAAAGCTCCTTGGGACACATCCTGAATACCAACAGCAGCAGCAGCTGGGTGTTCCAAACACAGAAAAAAAATGGACCTATCATAGACTTTAAAAAAAATAAAGGAGAACTGCACTTGCTCCTTGCGGAACACAAGGTCCCTGAAACACCAGACCTGTCCACTGCACTTCAGCAAGAGGATTTTTCTTTTCATTTTGGCAGCAGGACAGGGTTAAGGATTGCATTAAGATGCAAAAGATTTAGCTGGGGCTTAGTTATTAGGCAGCTCTGATCTGATCAGAAGCGACTTTGTCCGTCCTAAGAACAGGTGGGTGGGAAAAACAGAACCTGTGCCCCAAGCCCAGCACTGACCCCAAGCAAGAAGCTTCCAAATCTCAAAGGGCCAGGAGAACTGCTCAGAGCTCAGCCTCCATGAGGAGACAGAAAATATGGTTCTAGAAGTGCTTAATCTTCCCCTTGCCTCCAACAGCAACCCCCAAGCACCCCCTCCTCCAATTAATTTCTCAGGGGAGTAGGAGGAGCCCATCAGCTGCATTAATTAATGAGGCAGAGGAACCAGATCTCAAAGAGGAGCCATATGGAGGTATTTTTTTAAGTGTCCTCCCTCGATTAGCACCCAAAGCAACCACTGCAGACGTGGCTGATGGCTCAGGAGCCACAGGCAGGAGAGAACAGGACCAGCTTTGTCCCCAGCTGCCACAAAAGGAATGGGGGGGCACATTACCCACCCACAGCACCACACAGTGCTCCAGGAGCCAACCCTGCCCTGAAGGGCTGGTCTCCATGCAGGGGCTGAGAGCAAGCATGTGTTTCCCAGCCCAGGGGTGGGGAGCTGCCCGTGCTCCACTGGCTGTGGAGGAACAGCAGCCTCCATGCCAACAGACCCCCAAGCTGGGGGACTCACCTCTTGTGAAAGGTAGGGCAGGACCTGTGCACAAATCCCATTTAGCCTCTTGACAATTTCAGCCTAAAAGGTGAGAGAAATAGAGAGGAAAAGTCAGGTAGCTCAGGACTGAGCACCCACAGCATCTGCTGCCCCACCTTCCCCCTCCCCATGCCAGGCCTGAGACCCCAAATGGCTCTGAGAAAACCCACTCTCCTGGCAGCATCCTGGTGCCATGGGGATCACCTTGTCCCCCTCAGGCTCCTCCCTGCATGGTTAAATGGCAGGATGCTGCTGACTGCAAAGAGCTGAGTTTCATTATTCCTCTTCCTCTCCAGCTCCCTGACGTTCATTTAACAATTTGGGAGCAGCTGGAGAGCAAAGCTGCTGCTCAGGTGGGGATGTGCTGAATTACATTTGCCATGTGGACACAGACATACACGTGGCTCTTCAGCCCTCTCAGGCTCCCCATCCCCAGCTGAGCTGCTGGACTGGGGCTACTGGGGGAGACCAGAGGGGCTGGGCAGCTTCCTCACCACCCTCACACCAGCAGCAGCAGATTCTGAGGTGTGAAATGCTTTTCTCCTGGCAAATAGTGAAGCTACCAGTCCTTTGCAAATCACTTTCCAAAGGAGTCTAAAGAAATACAGAACCAAAGGGTACAGGCACACACCAAAACCAGCTGAGGGGACCCCAACAGCACCCCAGGGAAGCAGATGAGGCTGGGAGACATTCGTGGGACAACACTGAGGATTTGTGGCTCAGATTCTTTGACAAGATCCAGGTTTTCCCAGGGAAGCCAGTCTCATGGGCTTAGCAACAAGGGCAATGAGATCAGAAGCACCAAGTGCCTTTGTGAGGAACAGAACTGTGCTAAGAGGCTTAAAACTGAGCCACGACATGCAGCCGACTTTGTGACTGGAGCTGGAGCCAGATAGAGACAGGCTCAGAGGAGGCTCATGTTAACACCACAGGTAATTAGTCACTGGGGATAATTAACAACTTAACCACCAGTGAGGGTAATGAGCAAACTTATCCAGGCTGCCACAGAGTCTCCAAGCCACAGGCTCCTGACCCTTCCTGGTGCTCAAATACCTGTTCAGGCCCTGGGGAGAACCACGGGGTGCCCAGAGCCCAGGGTGGGAGCTCACAGGCCAGCACTGTGATCCTGGGCAGGGGGGTAGGCTGCATTTCATAGGTAGCTCTGACATTTTTCAGGCTGATGGTATTTCTAGTTTCTGAAATGTAACTGAAGTGACAGAGGGCAATGCAGAGCAGACAACACACCTTCCCCAGGAATTACAGCACTTGGAGATGCTTTCCCCCCTACCTGTTTGTGCATTTCAATATTCAGCCCGTAGGACATCTCATAGTACTGTAGAGCAGGAGAGAAGAGAACAAATTGTAAATCAAGTCTCTGCCAGGTAAGTGCTGGGAACCACCGCTGCATTCCTGCAAGGGTTTTCTACAAAGGCTGGGCAAGGCAGGAGAGCAGAGACAAACCCCAGGAAACAAAGACAGCAGGAGGCAAGCACAGAGACTCCCTCCAGGTGTTCCCTGCCCACCCTGCTCCAGACCTGCCCCATAGGACTCCCCTCACACACACCCTTCCACAATCTGCACCAAGGTGAGAGAGAGTGACGCTGTGTCAAACCTGGAAAAAGGCTCAGGGCTCCAGACATCCCTAAGCACAGCCAGGAGAGAGGCAGCCTGGCTCTGTGAGCTCTGCCTGGCCAGTATCCTAAAGCCCACAACTGCTTCAGCAGCAAATGGGAGAGATCACAACTGGACTTCATCTAGCAAGTAACACATCCAGCTGCACACAGCTCCAGCTGTTTAGGAAGGAGTTATGTGGAAACCTCCCCCATCCACACACAAAAACAATCCACCCAGAAAACCCCTGCACAGCAGCAACAGGCAGCTACAGGCAATCTATTGGCAGAAGCATCTAATTCCTGACCCCTGGAAGAAGCTGTTATAAGGCTGATGTTTTGAGAGTTTAGAAACCTCCTCCTGCAGCCTGCAATCCCGATTCTTCCAAAGGGAAAAGAACAATCCACATCTGTGCTCATTTAATTGGAGCTCACTGGCATCCTGGTACCGACGCCACAAGGCGATGAAGCGCCCGGCTTGGTATCGGAATGATCTCAGCCTGCTGCGGGCTCTCGAGGCTTTTTTGCATTCTGAAGACCGAGCAGGAAGCAGGAGCCCGTCCCCCAAGCTGCCAATTGTGACTTATTCAAAAATCAGAGCAGCTGTAGCAGCTTTGCACATTCGCAGGAACCCTCCTCTTGGCTCCCCGTGACGGGGAGCGGCAGCAGCTCCGGCTCAGCCACGCAGACAAGGCAGGAGCTGCTGCGCCTGCAGAGCCTCCAGCGCTGCGCCACGAGGAGCAGCCCTTCCCCTCTGCTGCTGACAGCAACCTGAATCAATTCTGGTGACTGCCAGCATTAAGGGGGAGGAAAAAAAAAATGTATCTTGGCCACTGCTGGAGATGAGGGTTTCTGTGCAGACTGTGAGGCACAGGAAGCAATTGCTCTCCAGTGAGAACGGGGCAGGCTTGCCCATTAATACACCAGGAAAGCTGTGACCTCTTCTCCTTGTCCCCAGCCCCAAGCACACCTTGCTTCCCACAGTCTCAGAGTCTGGCCAGAAGGGCAGTAAAGAAAGATGAAGGGGCCAGCTAGCTCCCTTTTTTCTGATTTTTAAAGTCTTAACTCTGCTCTGAAGAGCTGCTCTATTAATTTCTACATCTTATCTCTTCTTTCCAGGGCAGGTGCAGCAGCTGGCAAGCAGCAACCAGCTCATCTTCATGGACAGTATTGCAGTCTCCTGTTAACCCCATGATAGGAAAGGAAGAGACCACAGCCCTGCCTGGCTTCTCTCCCCTCTGCTACAAGGGCTCTCTAGAGGCATTACCTGGCAGGCAAACCCTCACCCTGCTCACCAGAACATGGCTGTTTCCTGGCAGATTTCTCCTTGGAAAGCCACAGCTAAGCCTGCTGCCCACACGTGGCACCATTTCTCATACCAGGCGCTGCCCTGGGGCTTGCACACCCTGTGCTGGGACACACGTGCCAGCACTCAGCACCGCGGCTCAGCAAGGCTGTGGGGTCAGCAGAAGGTGCACAGGGTTTAGCCCTTGCACAGAAGCTGATTTCTGCTTCTAACTCACACCTGGCCCGTGGGGTTTCCCAGTTTTGTGCCTTCTCAGAGCACTGCTTTGTCTCTCACTGGCCATGTCCCTCCCAGAGTCCCCAGATCCCTGCACACCAGCACCTTGCAGCACCTTCTCAGCTGTGTAAGAGCTGTCACTTCCTTTGGGCACAGGGAGCCAGGCCAAGGACCCATCAAGCCATCACCCACCGGGCACCATTTTCTACATCAAAAAACTCCCTGCCACCGTGCATTTCAACAACCCCCTGCATGCAGACAACACAAAACAGCCCGATTTTCAGAAGAAAAAAAACAAAACAACAATTCCAGCCCAACTGAGAGCCCTGGAGCTCTGTAGGGTGTGGGCTCCCTGCCAGGCAGAGCCCAGGCACAAGCACCTGCTGGTGTTGCCACCCACACACTCTGCTCTCGGCTGCCGGGCCGGTCCTTACCATGACGTAGTGACGCTGCATCTCCGATTTCTCGCTGGCTAGTTTGTCACATTCCAACTTCAAGCTGAAAAGCCAGAAAACAGTAAGAAAACCACAAACAGGAGGTGAGAGAGTTGATCGCCACAGAGCAGCTGCTTCCTGCACGGCCTCATCCCAGTCAGGCTGGATTCTTGGACATCACTATCCGGATTTCAAGGGGTGGCCAGAGCCCAGACAGGCTGTGCTGGCACAGTAGTGACCACACAGAGCCTGATCCCAATTTCTCAGCTGGAGAACACACATTCAGGAAAAGGACACAAGGCTATCCACCAGCAGAACACTGACCTCCCTCAGGCAAATTCATTCCACAGGAAGCAGAATGCTGGGGAGAAGCAGAGTTGGCTGCCCAGGGAGGGGTTTGCCTTTCCTCAACAGATCACTGGCAGCTGGGGACAGATTCTGGCACACAACCTGTCTGCAGCACTCAAAAGATGTTCCAGTACAACATCAAAACCAAAGCCAGACCCACTTCTGGATGGGGGCGAGGGGGGAGGCCCAAGTGCCGCATATCCCTCCAGAAGCAAGGATTTTTCCTCTCTCCTAGATTCTTCACACCCTTCAGAGAAAGTGCCGCTGCTCCCAGTGTTTTATGAGACTCCAACTCACCAGCCGAGCAACTGCAGCCAGCATGTGCTGTGGTTTTATGTTTCAAACAAGAAACAGCTTCACCTACACAAAACCTGCTCCTTCTTGAGCAGATTAAGTCCAAGGGGGTGGAATGGCGTGGGGGGAAAAGCTTCCCTTTCAGCAGGAACGTTCCTTGGGCTGCCCTACTCCCCTGATGGCACTGCCAAGGCACACAGACACCAGGAAATGGCCACTTCCCAGCAGTTTTTCTGCCTGCTCCTGCCAGAATGACACCACCACAAACTTGCAACCTGCCCGCAGGCAGAGCCTGGGCTGGGGGACATTGCAGCCACATGGCACCGATGCACACACCAAAACCAGTGCCAGGCTGTGGCAGAGGGCATCACCCAGACAATTTAAACCACAGGTCTTCATGTTTATGTCAGACACACACACACACGCAAAGGAACAGACTGTCTCAAGCCAGCTTTTGGGTCAGCAGCACTATTTCCACACACAAACAGAAAAGTAAAAGCTTTTGGATTTAAGTGCTCCCTGCAGCATTTGCAGTCCAGGAATGGCAGCCAGCGAAAAAAACTGAGGAAAACTCCCAGCAAGAGGCAGGAGGCCTGGCAAGTGTCTGTGCAGTCCTGGCTGAGCAGCACTCGGAGGAAAGACCTTGGCTGGAGAAGGGAATGGGCGTTCTCCTCGCTGGGCTCCCATGTGGACACGACCAACGCCGTGCCCGAAGTCCTCCTCCAGCCAAAGGCGTCCCAAGCTACTCGACCGGGTCCCCTTCCCCATATTCTCATCCGGACCCCGGAGCGAAGCAACGAGCAGAAGAATGGGAGCGATTCCCGTGCATCGGCCGGCCCGGCGGGGCTGCGGGACAGCCCCGGGCCCGGGGGGAGCACGTACCTGTGGTACTGGGCCTGCAGCAGCTGGAACTCGTCCTTGATGCGGTCGCAGGAGTCGGAGGTCGTGAACTTCAGCTGCTGAGGCAGGTGAGAGGAGCCCTTGAACAACAGGAGACAGCGCTGGGACCGGAGCTGGCGGCCGCCGGGCCCCCCCGCCCCGAGCCCGCCCCGCTCTCGCCGCACCGGGGGCC